ACACACACACACATATACAGTCATTCCACTCAAATTCTCTGCAATAAACATTTAATAATAATCCTCTAGCATTACAACCAAAACAACTCCTCCTTTCTTCCCATAGAGAGAAAAACAATCTTGTCACATACTGGAACTTGTTTTTAGAAGCTAATATACCTGAACACGACTCTCTGCTTCAGTTAACACTATTCCCTCTTATCATAAAGTCGTTTTAAACATTGAAATCGCAGTTGGAGCTCCAGTTGCTAGTTTTTTCAGGGAAGTGTCTCATATATGCAGTAACTGAACATAACCCCCAAAACCTCCACTGTCCCAGCTGGTCCGAGTCCTGAACTCTGTTGTCACACTTGCAGGTGAGCATATGTCACGCGCACCTGAAAAGTAACCAGCAGACGTTTTTGACTCCGCCCAGGTCTGCCTCGTTGCCACGACTCCCGTAGTGACCTCGTTAACTTTGTTTCAGGTACCCAATCATAGCCAGCCAGCCTCACAAGCACCTCCTCCTCCTCCTGAGGCAAAGCAATCGATTAACTCTCAACAACCGTTAGCTACCTTTCAGTGTGGCCTTGCCTGGATATAACAGTGCTGGCCTGGACTGCCTGTTCCCCTCGTAACATCAACTTTTGATATTCGGTCTCCTTTACTAGCTTATACAGGTCATTGTGTTTATACTTAAGTGGAAATGCATGCTTAATAATAAGACTATGAAACAAAGCAATCTGAATTGTAGACACATTGTGAATGCAGGAGAGGTGAACGGCACATCATTACGTTTTTTGAGGGTTTGGTGTAGTTTTAATTTTGTTAAGATAATCCCAAGTTTAACCTTTTTATCCCCTTGAAATGTACCACAATGTGCAATACTTACATTTTGTCCCCGACCCCACCCTTTGCTGTGCCAAGTGTATGTAGCATAGTCCTACTCCAGTGTCTCATCCTTGTTAATGGCTTGTGTATTTTACTGTCTGTTGATGTGTGTGTCACATCTGTAAAGCGAGAGTCAGGATGTTTGTGAAGAGAAACAAAACCAATGGAGAGTTTGTCTGTACCTCTCTTTCCCTTTTGTCCTTGCGGCCTTCCTAAATTTGAGTGTGTGAGAGACTGTGTCATGTCTGTGTGTGTGTGTGTGTGTGTGTCTGCACCATATGTTGTGTGTAGTATGTGCTTGCGTACACCTGTGCTCAAATGTGTTAGGGTTTTGAGTGTGTGACGCATGTGTGCGTAACGGAGTGTTTTCTCCTCGAAATGTCTGTGAGATCGTAAACCCTGACCCTCAACGGTTCACGGTGAGACCCACAGAAAAAAAGAAACCTCATTGCTAGTGGGGACCACTTTTGTAAAAAAAAGTTTAGAAAAAAAAAGTTAAAAAAAAATAAAAAAAATACAACAACCAACCAACAGAGATGCACATGTAAGTAGATGTAAAAGACTTGATAATGTTTCAGCACTTTCTAATCCTAGGATGGGTTTGGTCTAACCCCTCTGTCTCAGACCGATACCTTCCCTAGGGGTAACATTCATTCAAAACAGACAGAGAGAATGAGAATGAAAAAAGGAGGAGAATAAGGATGAAAAAAGAGAGATGGCTCAGTTTAAGTTTTTGCACATCACCTTGCCGTAACCTTGTGTTTATCTGTCTGTGCTCCATCTCGCTTGGCGCCCGGCGCGTTCTTGGGTCCAACGGGCCGAGGTGTTAGGTGGTTCCTTGGTTCTTTTCCACTAGGAAA